GTGCTGAGTCATGGTTCTGGACCGTTATGTAACGGACCTCACTCTGAGGCCCGTTCATCTGGTCCTGCTCCGTGAGCCGGGTCAGCTGGTTCTGCTCAGGTTCTAAGCAGGCTGAAACATCTGCTGAACCGTGCAAAAGTCTTGAGTCTTGTTTGTGTTTCCTGTTTTCAGCCAGCGGTCAGCAGCTGCAGGGACCGGACCCTCAGACCAACCGGGCCTCATTAGACCTGAACCCAGCAGAGAATCCTGGACTCAAGGCTGAACAGAAGACTCGCATGGACCTGCAGATGTCTACAGCACTACATGGTACCAAAACCTGCTCCTGGGGGGTCAGTCAGTCTTTAGATCCAGCAGGTCAGATGGAGGTTTGGTCTTAGTCTTGACCCACGATGAGTCCACCTCCTGAAATGGACCAGGACCAGGACCAGGACCTGGACCCAGCAGAACGTCACTCAGGGCTGAGCAGCAGCTACGTGCTAAGAGGAAGAGTCTCAGGACCAACAGTGGTTCCTGTGAAGCAGAGAAAAGAAAGTGCAGCAGACATGTTACCTGGGCCTTCCTCCTCCTCCTCCTCCTCCTCAGTCTGTGGGCCTGCAGGTCCAGGTCCAGGTCCAGGCAGGTCCAGACACATGCTGGTTCTGCTGGGGTCTGGTGTTGAAACTCCAGATGTTTGAGGTGTTTGTGGCTGTGAGCAGCTCCTGCAGAGCTTCTGAGTGAAGCTGAACCTGTTGAAGGACCGTTTGGATCAGAACCTTTACAGACTCTGTGGTTTGTTTTGTCCAGGAGAGGCGTGCTGTCAGAACACCCTGAAGTCCATCATGAAGAAGAAAGATGGACGAGGCGACCCGACCAGCACCAAGAAGAACCTGCAGTTTGTTGGAGTGAATGGAGGGTGAGTTTGATCAGATGGAGGGAGAAGTTCTTCTTCTGTAACATGTTCAAATGTTCCTGAGCCTCTCCTGCCCCCTGCTGGTGCAGATATGAAACTACATCCAGTGACGACTCCAGCTCTGAGGACAGCAGCTCCTCGGGGTCCGAGGACGACCAGAAGGAGGAGGAGGAGGAGGAGGAGGAGTGTGGAAGGAGCGTCAGGGAGGAGTTCCAAAACAAAGGAGCAGAGGATGTGAAGACGAAGGATGAAGAGGAAAGTTTACAGGATGAGAAGAGAGAGAGGTGAGAATATAAACTTCATGGATCTGTTACTAAACCACAGATCTGTGCAGACTCTGGACTTTACCCTGTGAACAAGAACTTCTGTTTGTGGAACAAAAACACAGACCTGAATAAATCTAATCAGTCTGTCCTCACGCTGCATCAAACAAAGATAAATAAATGAAATAGGCTCATGCTTTTAGACACATCACCAAACATCTGGACTCCAAACAGTTTTATTTATGCATTTCTCTTCTGCTTTAACACTGTAAATATCAGCATTTTACTGCAGCGCCTTTTAGATGGACAGGTTCACCTGCCACTGACTTTATGGGTTCAAACGTTTTGACAGACCAGAACACAACTGGTCCTTTTAATGGTTTTAAGTCAAGTCAGATGATTTTAAACACAGGACTCCCTCAAGCTTGTGTTTTATCTCCTGCTCTGGTTTCTGTGGACACCAGCAGCACTTCCTGTGGTCCTGGTGGCTCACATGACTGGACCTGATGCTCTGCCCCGGTACCAGCAGCCAGTTCACATTTTAATCACAACTTTGTGGAGCTGAATGTCACAAAACCAAAGAGTTGTGCTTTGTGGGCAGAGATAAACCTGCCAGATCACCTCTCTGCCAACCAGTCAGCATGCAGGGTCAGCAGGTGGTCAGCAGGTGGTCAGCAGGTGGAGCAGGTGGTCAGCAGGTGGAGCAGGTGGTCAGCAGGTGGAGCAGGTGGTCAGCAGGTGGTCAGCAGGTGGTCAGCAGGTGGAGCAGGTGGTCAGCAGGTGGAACAGGTGGTCAGCAGGTGGAACAGGTGGTCAGCAGGTGGAGCAGGTGGTCAGCAGGTGGTCAGCAGGTGGAACAGGTGGTCAGCAGGTGGTCAGCAGGTGGTCAGCAGGTGGTCAGCAGGTGGAGCAGGTGGTCAGCAGGTGGAACAGGTGGTCAGCAGGTGGAACAGGTGGTCAGCAGGTGGAGCAGGTGGTCAGCAGGTGGTCAGCAGGTGGTCAGCAGGTGAAACAGGTGGTCAGCAGGTGGTCAGCAGGTGAAACAGGTGGTCAGCAGGTGGTCAGCAGGTGAAACAGGTGGTCAGCAGGTGGTCAGCAGGTGGAACAG